AAGATTTTATTAGAGAAATTTAAAAATTAAGAAACATAAAAAAAAGTAGATGTTAATTTGTATTAAGAAAAATTAAGTGAAAAATACATAAAAATAATATTATTTTAATAAATTATTATTTTAAACAATTAAAATATCATAATTTTTTAATAACGTAAAATAATTTTAATTTTTCTTCATAATTTTTTAAAGGTTAAAACCCTTTTTTGGTCCCTGAACTATTATACGTACCCTCCATTTGGTTCCTGAACTAAAAAAATCTCTGATCTGGTCCCTACTGCGTACCATTTTTACCCCGATTTGGTCATTTCGTTAAAAATTCAATGATGTGTCCAGTTAACTAACGGAAAATGATGACATGTCAAAATATTATTACACATCAATACCATGTCATTAAAACACGCCAAATTTCAACCAACAAAAAAAAAATGTGGGGCCCACCTCCTGCAAAAATCACTATCTTCTCTCCTTCCCATTCACACCCTAGACGGCAAACACCAACAGCCGCTGCTGGGTTCACAAGCCCTCGAACCCATGCCTGGGTTCCGTCGAAGAACCCAAGCATGCTGGGTTCTTCCATGAATCCAGGCGCGAGTTCGAGGGAACCCAGCGCCTAGGGTTCGAAGAACCCAAGCATGCTGGGTTCTTCCATGAACCCAAGCACGGGTTCGAAGGAACCCAACGCCTGGGGTTCGAAGAACCCACCAAGCTTGGGTTCTTCGAAAGAACCCACCAAGCTTGGGTTCTTCGAAGGAACCCAGGCGCGAGTTCGAGGGAACCCAGCGCCTGGGTTTGAAGAACCCAGCAAGCTTGGGTTCTTTGAAGGAACCCAGGCTCTGGGTTCTTCAACAAAAAAATAAATAAATAATTTTTGTACTTTTATAGGTGTTGTGATGAAAGCATGAAAATGTATATTTAAAGTATGCTTAACCATTGACATTTGTGGAATTATGGGTTTAAGAGTTATATTTTTTTACAAATAATTTCATAATTGTTCATTCTATTCATGTTGTGCAAAATTTTGGTGATTAAAGGTTTGATGACTAAATGGAGAGAATTAGAAGAAAAAGGACTTAAATGCAAAGAGTTGAAAAGATGAGGATCTAAAGATAAATCAAAAGTTTACAGGCTCAAGTGAGATTTTCTTCATTCTTGATCAAGGACCAAATGCAAAGCTCAAAAATATGATGATCAACTTGTGTGGAATCCAGGAGTCAAGGACCAAGACTATTATTCTGCCATTAACCAAAATTGCTCAAAAGGCCAAAAACGCGACACGGAGGATGCAGTTGACGCTCCACTCAAAGTGCCGGCACCTTGTAAAGAGTGTCGACCCCTTTGCGCAATTTTTTAGCCAAATCATATATGTCCTAATTATTGTGATGTGGGCTCCACAATCATTCTAGTTAGGATTTCTCAGATTCTATAAATACCCATCCAAGTTATTTTAGAGGGGGTTCCAAGGTTGGAGAGGCTGCTACCAGACTTCTATTTTCTTCTTCAATACTAGAAAATTATGATAAAGGGCAATTGAACTTTCAACAAGATTCGGGAGGATCTTAATTGAAGAGTTTGACTTGTTATTTTATTTTAATTCATTCATAGATTTTATTGTTTAATTTTATTTTTGAGAGATTATTAATTATTTTCAGACTTGAAAACCTTGAAAATTATATTTATCAAACTTCATATAAGATTAGTCATGCTCTTTTTATGTGTGATTTGTTAGAATATAATTGATTGGTAGATTTGTTTTGCAGGTTGATCCTTTACTGCATTATTATCGATTAGATATATTGTCGCTCTCAGATAGCTCGTAAGGACAGATCAGTTTGTTTTTCATTGAGATTAATTTTTCTCAAAATAAATACATTAGTCATTATTATTAGTTTTCAAAGTTGAATTTTCTGATTGTTTGTTTGGTATGTGAAACATGCAATTGAGTAATAAATAAGAATCAAAATTTATAACAATTAAATAAATCAATTAAGTGAACCTTGAAGTCTTGTTCATCATAATATTGTTTTCAATCTTTTACAATTATCATCTTTTATTTAAATATTTTTATTCTTAATTTTAGAATTCATCTTTTAATTTAATTTTTCATTGTGACAACTCTTTTTATTGATTTAACATAACTCCCATGTGGATTCGACACCTAAAGCTACACTACAACAACCGCTTAGCCAAAGGGTATTAATTTTGAGGCAAGACATCATGTTGTTTGATGATGATGATGAATTAATTGATGAAGAAGGAAAGGAACAGGAAGGAGAATGGGAACAAGGAACGCCCAGCTGGGTTTGAAGGATCCATCGCCTGGGATCGGGTTTGAAGGATCCATCGCCTGGGATCGTCGATCCCAGGCTCTGCGTCCAGGAAATGAAGAGGAAGGAGAAAGGGGACGAGGAAGGAGAAAGAATTTTTAAAATTTTTATTGCCATGTCACTAGTTTTTGCCATGTTGTCTTTCATGTGGAGTAAAATTTTGACATGTCATCATTTTACTGTGAATTAACAGTACAGGTGGAGAAATGTTAAACGGAATGATCAAATTGGGGTAAAAATGATCAACAGTAGGGATCAAGTCAGGGATTTTTTAAGTTCAGGGACTTAATCGGGGGTCCGTACAATAGTTGAGAGATCAAAAAGGGGATTTAACCTTTTTTTAAAAAAATTTACCTAAAATTAATTTTTAAAATTAATTTTAAAATTTTTCTTTAATATAATTTTAAATTTATA